GGAACTACATCAGATGGATGTGCAGAACGCGTTCCTTCACGGTGATCTGTAAGAAGAAGTGTATATGAAGATGCCCCCTGGATTTGCTTCGAGACTACCTGGGAAGGTGTGCAAGCTGCGCAAGTCGCTTTATGGTTTGAAGCAGGCCCCTCGTTGCTGGTTTGCTAAACTAACGACGGCCTTGAAACAGTATGGCTTTACCCAGTCACAATCTGATTACTCCTTGTTTACACTACGACGGAAGCAGGAACAGTTGAATATCTTGGTGTACGTGGACGATCTTGTCATCTCTGGAAATAATGGCAATGGTATATGGAGATTCAAGAAGTATCTGAGCCAATGCTTCCACATGAAAGACTTGGGAGCTTTGAAGTATTTTTTAGGAGTGAAGGTCGCCAGAAGCCAGAAAGGTATTGTCCTTTGTCAGCGAAAGTACGCTTTAGATATCATATCAGAAACTGGATTGCTAGGATCTAAGCCAGTTGGACTTCCCCTAGAACAAAATCATAAACTAGCTCTGGCAGATGGTCCTCTGATGGTAAAACCAGAGAGTTATAGGAGGCTTGTGGGTTGTTTAATTTACTTAACCATTACATGTCCTGAATTGTCCTACTGTGTACATGTGCTTGCTCAATTTATGCAGAACCCCCGTGAAGAACACTGGGAGGCGGCTTTACGTGTGGTGCGATATTTGAAAGGTAACCCGGGACAGGGAATTTTCCTTCCGRCCGACAGTGATCTTCAATTGTATGCTTACTGTGATTCTGACTGGGCCGGGTGTCCGCTGACACGACGCTCTCTCACTGGATACTTTGTATTTTTGGGACAAACACCTATCTCGTGGAAGACAAAGAAGCAGCTTACAGTGTCCAGATCATCGACTGAGGAGGAATATAGGTCTATGGCAACAACTGCATGCGAATTGAAATGGTTAAAAGGGTTGCTGCATTCATTAGGAGTTGGTCATCCTAATCCTATAAGATTACACTGTGATAGTCAAGCAGCCTTGCATATCGCTGCGAATCTGGTCTTCCATAAGAAGACTAAACACATTGAAGTAGACTGTCACTTTGTTCGCAATGAAATTCAGAATGGGAATATACGACTTTCCTATGTCAGGACTTCCGAGCAACTTGTTGATATGTTTACGAAGGCCCTGGGCAGGCAACAATTAGAACATCTTCTTGCCAAGTTGGGCATTTCCCGTTTACATGCTCCAACTGGAGGGGGGTATTAAGCCCGCGCCTTCTTAGTAGCATAGTCTTATCTCTTGTTGTATGAGTCCTATCTGCTGTATAGTTGTTCTTGTTGTTCTTGATTTGTTTTTCCTTTTTCGTTTAGGAGTTTGTATCCTAATCGCAAGAGGGAGCTAACTTAACTCTACCTCTATATATAAATCTTGTAATCGGCTGATGGAGAGATATACAGAAAGAAAAGATTTCCCTTCCAACTCGAGTTTGTTCACGGCAATGACGAGAAAGCGATCAGTTTCAGGTCCATGAAGTGGGTATTGAAAGAGAGAGCGAGAAAGCGAGAAGGCAATATGCCGTGTTCATTGCAGCGGCGGCGGCGATGACCCCTTTCAAACGAAAACAGAGGAGAATTGCTGCAATGAGTTACAGTACCTTTCTCACTCATCTCCTTCTCTCACGGCCTCTGCGTCTGCGGTTTTGAGCTTATAAAAGCGCATGGGGTGTCTCACTCTCACCCCAGAACTCGTCAGTCCGAGCCACCATGGCAGAGACTTCCCAGAAACTCTACAACTTGTCTATCTTCCTTCCGTCGCCATCGACCTATATTCGGTTTCCCCGTTACAGCTTGGTTGCAACGAGTTGCAGGGGAAAGGAAATGAAAGAGAGAACGGAAGAGAGGAAAGGGAAGAAGAGAAGGGAAGAGAGAGAAAAAGAGGGAGAGGATTGATCCACCAAAAAACTAACTCGAGCTTCTAATTAGTGCGGTTAATATAGTTGGCATTACAACCATTACAACTGGACTGACAGACTAGCCAACTGCTTAACAGACTGTCTTTTGAACTGATATAAGTTTAAAAACAACTATATTCCAGGCAATTCAATTCTTCAGTTGCAGCTGCAACTGTAACAGAAACATGATGGTTTCTCAATCTGGTTTGACAGATGCCTTGGTCGGTATTGGATACTCGCCTGCAACTCACATTGAGAGAAGTCGAGAGAGAGGAGTGAGATAAAGCAACTTCCTCCGCCGCCGTGTACTTGATCAGGAATTGTCGTTCAACTTGCAACTGCTAGAATGAGATAAAGTACCGTCTGTAACTTCCGCTCCGCTGCTGGAATGAGATAAAGCACCATCTCCCTACTGAGATAAAGATAAAGCAGAGACGTGTTGTAACTTCCTTTCCGCTGCAACTTCCTCCGCCGCTGTGTATCTGATCGGGAATTGTCATTCAACTTGCAACTTTCGATTTCATGTAATTGGTAGTTTGAGCTGTGAATTTGAGAGAGACAAGAGATGGGAGACTCTTTGTTCTCCAATGCTCGGACTTGTACTGCAGCTGCTGAGAGGAAGAGAGAGAAGACATCAGAGAGAGGACTTTGGTCTCCGTGTCGGATTGAACCGGTCTTCTCCTTTTCATGCGCATGCTCGTCGACTAGTCCATCTCCATAAAAAGGGAAAGAGAAACCAGAAATAGAGGCAGAGGGGGAGGTATGAGAAGGGAAAGAGTGGGGGAGGTAATATTGGGTTATGAAAAAATTTTATAGGTCACGTGGTGTTAGTCAATTTTCACAATCAGTAGAGATAGTATTAATTAATTTTCAAACAGTTAAAGTACAAAAACATGATAAGGGTATTTTAAGAAATTTACGTTTATATATATATATATATATATAATAGAATTACCCTTATATTTGACACTGTAACTTTAGCAGTGTACTCTCTTCCTTTTTATCCTTTAATTTTCTCAAATTATTAGTTTTTATTAGTTTACATTAGAATTAAATTTAGTGTGTATCGGTGGCTTAGCATGCCCTAACTCCTTTTTTCTTCACTAACGCTAATGGACCCTACCGTGAATTCTGTCGGCCGCTTAACTAATTATCCGTGTTAGATGACCGGCTTTTCGCATAATTTACCCGCTTACTGCTGCTACTCGTATTCAATTCAACGTTTTTTTGTCTGCTTAATTAGGAGTTATGAATGGCTTTTGTTTTTTTATCCGATAGCGCGTTTGGGAGTTGGGAGGGTTTCTGTGTTTGAATGTTGATTCAACTGCATTGAGTTATTATTGATGAAGCTAACTGATATAGCTTCATCGGAAAGTAGATTTTCCAACTTCTGTATTACCTATATTCGATTTTTTTTTTTTGGTTTTTAAACAATATGGCTTCACAGAGTTTAAGGTTCCTCAGCTCATGTAAGACCAGAATCCCCTGCCAATCGATTTTGGATCTGCTGACCACAATACATTATTAATTATATTCATCTATTTGCACATTGAGAATATCAGTCGTCACAACACAATAGATGTTTCATATGCATGGTTGGATAGACAAGACCAACAATGTGTTGTGATCAGTAGATATAGGAACTGGTGGCCTTTTCAGACTGATCTCGGTTACATGATGGTTTTGGAATGTTGGACAGATCAAATTCCTGGTCAATCGGTAAAACTGGGAGCTAGAGAGCATTTCAATTTTTACTCGCCTGCTTGAAATATTAAAACACTGGTTTACAATACACACTTGGTTCTATTTTGCCCCAAAACAGCTATTTTTGCTAAAAATCATTGAATTGATAAGCAATCTGCTGACATAGTCCGTCCAACCTTTAATCCAAACAACAGTTATTTTAATTATTTTTCATTTTTTTGATATTTTAATTTATCACAGGCCAATCTATTTTAACCCAACAATCAAAACACTGACCCAAAAACCCGTGTCCAAAGCGATTCCAATTATATTCTGAATCGGTGTTTGCTTAGATTGTGTGTTTTTTTGAACAAATCCCTTGTGTTTTTTGGTGGCCGATCACTTAGGCTGTGTTTGATTTAAAGTAAAAAGTAGGAAAAACAATCCCTTGTATAGGTTTTCTTACCTTTCTCTTTTTTTTCCTATATTTTCCTGCAAACCAAACATAGCCATAATACAAGCTTTATGGCTTGTATAGAATGTTGCTTAACCAATAACTACACCTCATAAGATATTGGACTTTGTAGTGGTTGTAGGAGCATATACACCGATGATGACCAGGTGGGAATTGGGACGTTATTATTCATTAAAGAGTCCTTAATAGTTAATACTATATGTAGGCGTTTAATAGGAAAACACCCAATTCATTGCTTGGTTGAATCGTTGAATGTTTTTTCAATTTACGTGAGGGCTGAGAGCTGAGGGCTGATTATTAGAAAGACATTAAAAATGACATTTTTCATTTTCAGTAGCGTTTTTCTTTTATTATTGTTAATGGCATTTAATGGTGTCTAGTGGCTTCTCCTCATTATTTAGACAAACTCGAGCCTATATTTTCTTTACTGTGATACAAGTAAATGGAATCTTGGAAAAGGACACGCCAATAACTTTACACGTGGTTCATCGACCAGCGAAGGAGCCCGTTGGCGTGGCTAATTCTATTCCTTGATGCCGCCCACAAGATACGGCTGGCGGTGGCGGTGGCCGCTATAGAATATTAGAGGGTAAATAAAAGTAAAAGATGCATTTTTAAGGGAACTAGGGAAGGGTTAGGGAGAGAGATGAATATTCAAATAGTTGGTGTTCCCGCGCAATCACCGACCCCCAACTTGGACTTGGCGCCGCTATATGGAAAAGCCGTGGATGAAGAGCCACGTGTTGAGCACACGTAGACGAGTGGCCCATTTCTCCAAAGGACACGTTGGTGCCACACATGCCTAGCTGTAGGTGGCTCCACTCCACCACACAATCTATATTCAATCACCACTCACCAACAGCTTCCGCTGTAAGCCACAACCAACCTCCTGATTAGTGATTTCCCACGTTCTATATATACACAAGTAAAAGGCTATTTTATAAATCCCATCTCCATTGAGTTTGAGTTGGATGTTCTTCGCTTCTTCGATTTCTAGCGCTTATCTAGAGTTACAGACAGTGAGACAGAGAGAGAAGATGGGGATAAAAGTAAACGAGAGATTAGAGGAGATGATTGAGGAAGGGTGCGAGACGCCAAAACACCGGGACTGTCGAATTCCAATGGCTTCGGTGTGCCCACCGCCTCCGAGGAAGAAACCAATCTACGGCAAGAAGAGAGACCCTCCGACGAATGGGTATTTTCAGCCGCCTGATCTGGAACTTCTCTTCGCTATAGCGCCAAGGCGGGAAGCCTGTGTGTAACTTTGAGTTTTGGTTTGTGGCATCTGCTTTTGTAGATAGTTGTAATCTATTACTTCTTCCTCCTTGATCTATGGCTATGACTCTGAAAGTCGTATTAGTTTTCAAACTGAGAAATATATTCCTTCCTTGTTCGTTTCCTTACTCTGTTTTGTTGTTCATTTTTGCGTATGCGCGATTATCCCAGTAATTTTAGACTTGGTTGCTTTCTCTGTGTTATTGTTATTAATTTGGACTGCATGGGAACCATCTCAACGAACGGAGTCACAACTGTCATGGAATTCCAACAGGATAAGAGAGGGGGGAGGAGCTTTTGGGATTTCAAAGTAAGACAGCCCTGTTAAGAGTTTTATATATAAAATAGTTATGACTTATGAGGTGAGAGTGGATTTGAGAGGGATGTGACGACTTCGAGCATATATATTCATGCCTTCACCCAGATGTGGTTTGCTGTTTCCCGGTGTGGACGACCATTGTTACGTTTCTAAACTGCAATTTACGCGCATCTGTACGCTATGTATCTGAAAATCTCTGTCTTCGTGAGGTTGGCTTGGTTTTGTTCTTGATCTATTTCTCTAAAGTTTGATTAAGGAAGCTAAGCACGAACACGAAGAGTTGAACCCTGTAATGCCAGTGGTGACACTCAATTCTAAATTGTTCACCTTCGTCTTCTTTATTGTTTCGAGAAACTGAAGCAAGCGTTATACGTCAATTTCATTTCCATCCCCAGACATGTGGCGACACACATGCAATAGTGGCTTTTGCGTTGTCATCTTGGTGATGTCGTGATCATGGTCGTTTGGAGTTGTTCTCGGTCATCCCGACTGTTGCTGTCGGCGGGCTCCTGGATCCTCAGAGTCAGAGGCCAAAGCTCTAACAAGTCTGAACTGAAGTGTGAACCGATTGGGCTAAGGCCTAATGCCCAAGGGAATTTCTTATTGCGCTCGCCAACTATTTACGTGCAGAAGCTTGTAGAATACAATTATATTGCCTTCCCTAAATTGAACCCTACACTACAGTTGTCCACGCGTGTTCTTTCTAAAATTAAAAATATGATTATTTATTAAACAAAAATAAGTTTCAGTGCACGAGAGGACATGTTGGTGCCCTGGGTACATTTTGAATTTTCCAATTCTAA